TTTGTTTTTGTAACGCGCTTGGTCCGTGTCTTACCTAAAAAGACTATTTTGTCATTGATTTTTTAATCTATTTAAATAAACACACCCCCAACCCCACTCATTCACCTTACCTTACATACCCCACCATTTTTTTTCTATTTAAATAATAGTCTTTTTAGGTAAGACGGGGACCAAACGTGTAACAAAAACAAACAGTAGGGACCAAGCGCGTAACAAAAACAAACAGTAGGGACCTTCCGAGTTAAAAAAATAAGTTATGGACCAAGCGCGCAAATTACCCCAAATCATAGGGACCATTTGTGTAATTTACTCTATTGGTAATTGTATGTTGTGTATCAATTAAAAGGACATGTACAAGAGGAATATATAGATAACACAATTACATTCTAGACCCTGAACTATAACTATGTTATTAAGATCTGACTAATAATAAATGTGTACTAATATAAAATCGGATCACGGAGGGTACTACTGATGATGTTCCAAATCATGCCCCCGGTGAGCTTTGGAAGGTTAAGTTGATCCATTTGGTCAAGGGTACTGCACATAGAAATGAGGTGGCTGCAACTTTATCTTATTGTTGCTGCTACAGAGTTCTTTCAAACTTCATTGTTATTATTGGTGAAACCCCTATGCAGTTTAGGGTAGATGAAGGAATAGCTTTGGTAGCAGTTTGAGTCTTCTCAGCTTGGATAAAAGGTTGATTCTACCAACTTGGGAAAAGATTTGAGCTGTATCATATTGGGTTACAATCTGAGTTGTATCAGCTTGGGTAATTTCTCGAATTCTATCAGCTCGCATAACAGTTTAACTTCTATCAGCTTGGGTAGTAGGTCAGGTAGAAGGTATCTAGGACAAAAGGCGTAAAGAATATGGGGGTGTATAAATTATAATAAACAAAATAGAGATTTTTTCCAAAGTACAATTAGCTAAGCATAGACATCTCAACCTACAATATAAAAAAAAATTAAAAAAATTAAAAAAATTAAAAAAAATTTCAGACCTATGTGAAGTAACAGAGTGTAAAATTGTCTATGGTCAACGATAATTTCCATCTGTGATATACCACCTTATAAGTTCCTTTAGGCTACTCTAGGGATGAGCAACGGGCCGAACCCGGACCGGACCGGCCCGAAGACCGAAAACCCGAAGACTGAAAATCGTGAATTACCTTACCCGAAAACCGGACCGTTTTTAGGTGTAGCGGGTCAGGGTTCGGTCCGGTCTGGTTCCGGGTACTAAACCGGGTTTCGGGTTTTGGACCGAATTAGACTTTTGTAGTGTTGTTTACGGTTTCGGTCCAATCTTGTTCTTGATACCAAACTGGGTTTCGTGTATTTGTTGTTTACGGTTTCAGGTTTTGTTTGGTTTGTTACTCTCTAGCATACTATTTCAAATTATAAACTTATTACGTAACATCCATCATTCGTATCTTTGTTGTTTGTACAATTCGACTGATAAAATACATAAAAGAAGATGAATATAACGGTACACTGCGGGACTCTAATTAGAACACGTGCAAATGAGGTGTATGCAAACAAATACAAACGTTATTAAAAAACTACACTGTTTTTATAAAAAAAAACTGCACTATTTTTATGTAAAAAAATCTGCACTTAACATCACTATTTTTATAAAAAAAAAAACTGCCATATTTTTATAAAACAAAACTGCACTATTTTTATAAAAAAATTGCACTTAACAACATTATTTTTATTAAAAAATATTGCATTATTTTTTTTAGAACTGCACTATTTTTATTAAAAAAATTTGTACTAGGAAATAACTTTTGGTTTTTCAAGAAAAAAAATCAAACCATAATGCGATCAAGAGAACAAGCCGAAACCAAAAAAAATTGACAAGATAATGTGATCCACAGGAGAGACCGAATCAATTCAATCGGACAACATTTTTTTTATTTTGGTAATTTTTGCTTACTGTTTGTCGATAAAAAAAAATAAATAACTTTTGGTTTTCCGGTCCGGTCCGGGTTAAATCCTTTAATTCGGGTACGGTCCGGTCCAAACCCGAAACCCGATTATTGATAAAAACCAAACCCGAAAACCGGCCCATTAATATGATAATCCGGTTCGGTCCGGGTCCGGTCCCGGTTTTTTTCCGGTCCGGTCCGGTCCCACGGGTCGTATGCTCATCCAGTTGCCCACTCCTGTTATTATGCCTCATAACACCTAATAACGCAAATGAACACCGCCCCCCTCCCATGTTATCCCATGTTATTGCATGTTAAAGACATCCCCGTTACTTCCTGTTACCACCACAACATTTGGTAACGACGTTTCCTTTATTTTTCTCCTAATAACGCCTGTGGGCGTTGCCCACACCCACCTCTCTTAACAGTTCACCCAACTTTATAAAAATCCTTGAAGGTCCCCCAATACCCCATATTTAGCATAAAATCTAATCATCTGGCTATCATTACCGGGGGTAATATCATATATATATATAACCCCAAATGATACCAAGCCTATTAATAGCAACAAAAAATGATATAAAACCAATTCTCACCATTACAGTTACCCCACCTATCATTTATAAGATAGAAAAAGAAATCAAATCACATAAAAGTTTGAATACTGCTTTAAAGGTGAAAGTATCGACTTATTAAAAAAAGTACCTTCTGTATATTGACATTCTTCCGGCTGATCGATATGCTCCATCAAGCTCTATTCCATGGCTAATAGTGTAACCTAGTCAATTTCACAATAACAATCAACAAAAAAAGCTTAGTTATGTGGGTATCCACAGGTTGCTCCATTTGCTTTATAAAAATGGGCCGTTTTCCGGAAAATTTTCCAAGAAAAATGAGAATTTTAAAAATGCGTTTAGTTCGTCTATTTTTCTAAATTTTTCACGGAAAATAAAAACTTTTTGTTTTTTAAAATTACAAAGAAATTGGAAATTTATGGAAAACTGATAATCATTGTTTTCCATATTTTTCTAATTCCAAAATTTTTCTAAAATATAACTACACCCCCACTCATCTCTACCTACCCCACACTAACACCCCCAACTCACCACACTCCTACCTACCCACACCCACCCACTCCCAAGCTCATCCCCACAAACACACCCACTCCCAAACCCACCCCCACAAACACACACATACACACACCCACAAACACACACACACACCCACCCACTCCCAAGCCCGCCCCAACAAACACACACACACCCACACCCATCCCCACCCACACCCATACAAACACACATACACACACACCCACAAACACACACACATACCCACACCCATCCCCACCCCCACCCATACAAACACACACACACACCCACCCCCACAAAACACACACACGCAACCCCACCCCCACCCCCACCTACAAACACACACACCACACAACACCCACCTCCACCCCCACAAATACACACACACTACACACCCACAAACACACACCCATCACCCCTACAAACACACATACACAACACCACCCCACAACAACACACACACTCACCCCCCCCCACCCACAAACACATACACACACACCCATCTCCACCCCCGCAAATACACACACACACCCATCACCCCCCACAAACACACACACTCACCCCACCCCCACCACAACACACACACACACACACACCCACCTCCACCCCTACAAATACACACACACCCACCCAACACCACTACCACAATCACCGACCTACCATCACCACCACAACTACCCCATCACCAGCAGCACCACCGTCGCCACCATCACCACCACTGCCACAATTTCCGTCGTCACCACCACCGCTGCCACCCCACTGCCGCCACCACCGTCTCCATCATTGACACCACCATTGCCCCCCGTCGCTGCCCCCCCACCCCCACCCTACCACCGCTACCGTTTTCTAAAAATGAAAACCGATAGAAATATACACATCTAAACGCGTTTTCTAATTTTCTAAAACTGAAAATGAAAAATGAATAAGTTTTAACTAAACGCGTTTTCTAAATTTTTCAATGAAAACTGAAAATAAAAAACGAAAACTGAAATGTGAAAACGAAAAACGGAAAATGAAAACTGTTTTTCCTTAACTAAACGCAACCTAAGATATTTTAAATGAATAGTTGACTACTCTCACCTAAGCTTTGACTTCTAGTTATTTTCATAGACCTTTTGAAGTATGTCCTTGAATCTTTATTAAAAGAAAATGGAATATATATATATATATATATATATAATATATATATAATATATATATAAATTGCTAATTAAATGTAGATATATAACATATATAAATGAATGTTGGATATATACCTTCCATCATATTTCTGGAGAATGGTATTCTTGGTGCCAAGATAAAATGGCCATTTTTTCTGATAGATTGTGTTCATTAAGTCTCCGCAAAAGCAACACTATTTAAAAGTGTCAACAAAATAAGATATAAATTAGATTTAACAATATGAAAAATGATGTTGAAAAATATAGAAAGTTAAAGGGCATACCTCATTAGTATTGTAGCTTTTACAGGGATAGAAAACATTGAAGCGTTTACAGTGAATTGAAGTTTTATATAGGTGGGACAGTTAAGGAAAGCTGCCTAATTTCTAGCAATCATGGAATCGTGTAGTGCAGTTGTTGAATAAAACTGATTTGCAGTTCTTGAAGAAACTGGTTATAGTGAGGAGTGATGAGTTTGTGGCTGTTGGTTGCGTACGTGAAGGAGGACACAGTGAGTAGAAGGAGGGGGGACATGGGAAGTGGGGTTGTCGCCTGAAAACCTCCGATGATTAATTGCAAATAGAGACGGATGCAAAGGAAGAACATGGGAGGAGAAAACGATCAACTGTGAGGAACGTGCGGGAGGAGCTGAAAACGGTTGACCGATTAACCGTAATTCTTGAGTTATTACGGCTGAGATTGAAAGAGGAAAAAGTTTAAATGGCTAAGATTTGTTTGACGGTTTTTCACTCACCGTCAACAATAGTATAAAGAATACCCAATAGTCTAATAGGTTCTTGTTTTTCTTTAGCTAGTATATAAACTATAAATTAGCGCACTAAAAAACTCAACAACATGTTTCATGTTTCATATTATTAACATCTCCAAAACCAAACAATCCAAAAAAATCCACATAAATCATTATTACACTCAAAATCAAATTTTTTTGTATCATATAATGATACACAACTAAGCTCGTTTTGTGCGTCTTCCAACTTCAAGTGCCAACTCTGTATCGATTTTCAGAGATATATCAAGTGCTTTCACCGAGTGTGTCAACGCTCCACTGCATACATTACATAAAAAAAATAGAAATCAATTTTCTTTTCTCGAGAAAAAATAATTTATAAAATTTTAATAATTCCATGATTACCTTGATATATATGTCACCCCCGTTTGCCCAATCTTGTGTACAGTTTCCAATGTAACATTTCCAGAAGCCTGTTTTTACACACTAAAATATAAAACTCTCTTATCTTTTACATTTTTTTTAAGATTAAACATTTTTACCTCAGTTTCAAACCTCCCATTAATTATTCCCACAGCTTCTTTAAGCATTGACACGTCAACATCTCCATCACCTTGAGGAACAACCATATTATCCAACATTATTCTACTCAAAAATGTTTTATTTTCATCAGCATAACGTAACACCTCATGTATTTCCTCAAATGTCCTTGTCTCCACCTGTTCAATAAAAAAAATAAAAAAATTGGTTTTGATATTCAAAAGGAAACAAACAAACAAACTCAATGAAATTGAAATTACCTCAACGCCCATTTGAAGATTGTTGTTGGTCAAATAAAGGTCAACGGATTTAAGGGCATTTGAGACACTTCCAGATATGGAGATATGATTGTCTTTTATCATCACCATATCAAATAAACCCATTCTGTGATTCTTCCCTCCACCTATCAACACCTGTTCACATGTTAGTAAAATAATCATAGATAAAATTAGGGTTTATGTGAATAAGATCAAAGGGTAAAAAAGTAAAACTACACCGCCCACTTATCCACCAAACGCAATGCTGGTGCAGTTTTTCTTGTTTCCAATATGCACGCAGGGTTTGCAGCTTCTGCCATCGCCTATACCAAATAATTAATAAAAAAACAAAAATAATATTTTTTTTCTTCTAATGATTATAGACTATTATTATTATTATTAATTTTTATAAAGTTATGGAGATGTTATTGTTACCTTTGTGAGTGTGGCTATGCCACTCATTCTTTGCATAAAATTTAGCGCAACTCTTTCGGCTAACACAATACTGTATGCTCTTCCTAAAAATGATTAAAAATTAAAAATCAGTGTATCACAATTTATATATGATATAAATTGTTTTGATTATTTTTTGAATATTATGTTTATTGTTTACCATAAACTTTGCCGAATTTCAGTCCTTTAAAAACACTATCTCCATCTTTTTTATACCATTCCACCTGAAATTAATAACATTCGGTAAATCTAATACAAGTTTTTCATATATTGGAGAAGATATTTATTTTGTAAATGAAGTACAAAGTGTACAACTACCTTTAATGTGGGATCCACTTCGTTAAATATCATTTCAGCAAGTGAAATTCCTGCAATAATTCCATCATCTTTGGCTAGAAAATAAGCTTCAACTTCCATCTCAGTTGGAATCGTGGCCAAACAAGTTACATCCCCTACATTCATGATTTCAAAATACAAAGTCAACAAAAATCTGACATTCAATCTTTACCCCTTTTTGATAACAAACAACTTCAATGTACATATCTTTAAAATTAACAATATGACTACAAAGTCAAATGTTACATTTAATCTAGGCCTAATCAAGCAATGTTTGCTTTCCCCTATTATTGACATTAACTACATCTTTAATGTAAATAGTTTTTAAATAATTCGATTGTGACAAAACGAGTAAAAATGTCAACAGATATTGGACCTTTATCTCCAGCATCTTCAGAAAGTGCTAGCTTAATGACGCCTTTCAAATCATAAGTAGGGTGCACAGGAGGCTTCACCATAGCAGACTGAATCGATTTTCCATGGTTAATAGTTGTAGTTGCTGCCATTTTAACAACCAGTCTGCTTCTAGAGCGAGAACTACATCAACAATAAAGCTACTTTCACATACACACACATGCAGAAGAATAGCATATTCGAATGAAAAAAAGTTATAGCATTGAAGAATATCAATCGAACCTCGAAGAAGCTGTAAGTAAACTAGCAGGGGATACTAATTGAGAAAGTTGAATTCCAAACATTATTGAACTTATGATATCTCCTTCTTTCCCTGCATGCAATGGAGTAAAACTCTGATTGATTGATTTCGATGTGTCTTTCAAAAGCAACAAACACAATAAAGCACATAATTCAGAATAAAATTGAGCTTCGACTTTAATAGTCAAATTGAGAGAATCAAATTGTATACGGTTTTTAGGGTAAGCAATACAGAACTTATCCCAAATCCCAAATCACCAAATCAAGATTTCTTTACAGCTGAAACACACATCAAAAATAGATTCTTTGATGATGGGTGTCGCCGGCGGAGAGAAGAGAGCCGCTCGTACCTGTGGAGTAGTCGCCGGCGGAGACGTGAGTTGTCGCCGGCGGAAGTGGAGGTGTAGGAAAGGCCGGCGAGGGTGTTTTCTCGTGAAGTCGTGAGAGTGGGATTGAAAAAAAGTGAGGCGTGAAAATAAGTTTACGCTGCAAGTGCAAGTAATGGAAAAGGTTTTTGGGCCTTTTTTGATTCTTCAAAAACAGACATCTTTTGTGAAACACATTAGTGGTAAAAAAAGATATTCTACAAAAGAAAACAAACAAAGAAACACCATCTATATGTTCGTATATTACAACCCTAAAACTTATTTCATTTGTTTACTTTAAGTAGTGTTTGTTATTTCTTTTAGAGATAATGATTTAAAAAAGGTAATATATTTTTTGAAGTCTTTAAGTTTTTTTTCGTTTACATTACCTTTTCAACTTGTTTAATGTACACATTTAGTCGTTATGATCGGCTACTTCAGGTAAGCCGAAAAAACATGACTTAAAAAGATAATATATTTCTCATTTTGTACACATTTAGTCTTTAATTTTTTTTTGTACATTTAGTCTTTAATATTTTTTTTTTGTTGCAAAATAAGTCTTTGTTGTTTTTGTACACATTCAATATTTATGACCGGTTTTTTGGGTTTTTCTCACGACATATTATGCGAGACAATCATTAATAAGGTGTTTGGGGTTGTTCATGCTTATGACAACCACGACATCGACGGCTTAGTTCTTGTGGTTTGTCTTAGGTCTTGTGTTCTGAACGTCGTAATTTCTTCAAACAATCATGGATTTAACGATCTTTATATTCACATGTTCGTATTTGACTCTATTACAATTTTCGTTTAGATTTGAAACATCTCAAAAGTACGGTCCCAAAATTTCGTTTTAAATCATAAATAAAAACCATAAGTATCATTCATCATATAAAAATCATAATCGTGTATCTCATAAATGTGTTATAAACAACTCTCAATATATCAAAACATCAGAGTAAATCATCCCAGGCCAAAAGTTGTGGTGTGTGTCATGCAGTCATCCCGAGCTCTTCCCCTTACTAATGGAAGTACCTGAAAACCAAAACTGAAAACTATAAGCACGAAGCTTAGTGAGGCTCCCCAAACTACCACATACCATACACATATCACATAATCATATATCAACATATCGTGGGCCCGCCCTGCTACAGCGGGCCCCACCCGGCATCAGCTTGCCCGACATCGGGCCCCGCCCGGCATCAGACCGCATCTGGCATCGGGCCCCGCCCAGCATCAGACCGAAGTTTGGTATACATATTTCATATCAACAAGCATATAACATAAACACATAACATAAACCATGGTTGTCAAAATAACGATCCTGATCGTAGGATCGTACGATCCTAGGTATGAAAAACGATCCGGATCGTAAATGGATCGTATTTGGGGTAGGATCGCAGGTAGGATCGTAAGATCTTAGGATCGAGATCCGATCCGATCCTACCTTCCCTTGAACTTTTTTTTTTTTGCAATTGAAAATTATTTTTACCACTTTATGTCTTTTACCCTTTACCAATTTACCGTTTATCATTTTGTGTTGTGACTTATGACTAATATTTTGAAGTTTTTATAACTTTTGAACGAAAAATTAAATGTTTGAAATATTTTTCATGTTTAAAAATTATAAATTAAAATTATATTTTATTTTGTGAGATCTTAGGATCCCGGTCCCGATCTTACGATCCCGGTCTTGCAAACCCAAAAATGATCCTATGTAGGATCCCGGTCTTGACAACCTTGACATAAACATATAAACATTCATCGGGCTTGCCCCGACATCGGACCGAAGCCCGAAACATATAAAATAACATATAAGCTAAACATTCCTCGGGCTTGCCCCGACATCGGACCGAAGCCCGGAACATAAAAACATAACATATAAGCTAAACATTCATCGGGATTGCCCCGGCATCAAACTGAAGCCCAGAACATAAAACATAACATAAGCTAAACATTCCTCAGGCTTTCCCCCGCATCGGACCGAAGCCCGGAACATATGAACAAACACATGCAAAAATCACGAAGACATCAAGCATACAAACATTCCTCGGGTTTTCCCCGGCATCGGGCTAACCCCGACATCGGACCTAAGTCCGGCATAAGCTAACATACATAAACGGGTCGGCATTGGTGCCTTCGACCCGTTCCTACTGGAGGAAAACACACCTCACACTGCTGAAGTCCTGCGAATAAATCTTTGGCTGCTGACTGACAGATTCCCAAACTGTCAACACCAAAACAAAACCCAATTAACCATTTGGGTTTCAATACATAACCATAAACCTACACTTAGGGTAAAAGGACCATTTTATCCCTAACCTATAGATGTATGTCAGTAGCTATGGATTTAGTACTGTATAGATGTACGTTGGTAGCTATGGATTTAGTACCGTATAGATGAACCTTGGCAGCTATGGATTTAGTGCTTGTTGTATAAATCTCGGGCAGCGATGAACTTCGTGCCTATTCCTTTGGTCACCTTGGCAGCTATGGACTTAGTGCCTGTTGTATGAATCTCGGGCAGCGATCGACTTCGTGCCTATTCCTTAGGATAATCCTTAGGAATGAATGAATGGAGGACAGATGATTCTTAAGATCTTTAAGAATAAAGAAGATAATGGGGATGGGAAATTGGGTTGATTGTTTGATGTTTAAACATAATAAATAAATTTATTGTTGGTTGATGAAATTAATAAATTTATTATTTGTGGGTTGAAAACCCTATATGCTCACCAGGCTCCCAAGCCTGACCCACTCAGCTTTTTATATTATTACAGGTTGTGGAACGAGAGCATAGTTGGATGATGACGATGGATTTTGGATTATAGGCCAGTAGTTGTAAATAACAGTTGTAAGACTTATAATATATTGTTTATGCTTTTGGTCTGTATCGGAACATGACATCCCGAGGCTTTGTTATGAAATGGAAAATATATTTCTTTAAGAAATGATTTGATAAATTTTATCATATTTTGTTTTGGGTACAAATTCTGCAACATCTTTTAAAAGATTACTCTGATTTTATTTTAAAAGCATAAACTAATCGGTCTTTTCTGGCCGAGAAATTTGGGGATGTCACAGTTGGTATCAGAGCATTAGTTTAAGCGAACTAGGAATTTGTAGGATTTCTAGACTTAAACTTAGAATGCTAAGTGATGATCGTGAGATGAGTGTCTACCATATTTTAGACACGAGCACTAGTATATTTTAGGAAAGATGCCTAAAATGCTTTTATGTGCTAAATGTTATATGTTTTCCATATATGATATTATTTATTCGGATCTATGGTCTGTTGCCGACCAGATCTGGAAACCTTATGTCTTTAGGATTCTAAGCGTATGACTACGATATTTGAACTAGCATGTAACGTTTCAGAGTGATAAGGAGAATTTAAATATCTGTCGTGGATAAAGGTTTAAATTTGCCTAATTTGGTGTATAGATCATAATGGCAAGAACCCGAAGTGGAGCTGGAAATACAAATAGAAATCAGCAACCTCAACCCCAAGTGATTGAGCAGGTGCATGTGGTAGAAGTTGCACCAGAGCCAATCACAATGGCTGGTGTTCAAGCCATGATCCGGGCTATGATGGTTGAACAGAGGGAAGAAATGAGACAATTGTTGAACAACAGGGATGAACCTTCAATGCCTGTTGAACAACCTGAGTTAAATGACAGTCAGTCAGAGGAAGGAAATTCTGTTGATCAAACTGAACCGCTTGTGGTTAGGAGGAATAATCACGAGGATGGAGTGGAGAGAAATGGATGCAAGTATAAAGACTTTATGACTTGTAAGCCATCAACTTTCACTGGAAAAGAAGATCCCGTCGGAGTAATGGATTGGATCTCGGAAATGGAATTAGCTTTCATGACATGTGGTTATCAAGGCAAGTTACAAACCACATTTGCAGTGCGTCAGTTCAGAGGTGGCGCTGTTCGCTGGTGGAACACTCTGGGAAAGACCCTAAGCCCTAATGAACCACTGCAACTGACTTGGGCAGAGTTCTTGGTGCATTTCAAGCGCAAGTACTGCTCGGCCCAAAATGTGCTTGAGTTAGAGAACCAATTTCTGACATTAAAGAAGGGAAGCATGTCCATCGATTAATATACCAATATCTTCACAGACAAATTGGAGTTTGCTTTGCGTATTGTCCCAGACGAGCTGACAAAAATCGACAGGTACGCAAAGGGACTTCCATGGGAGTATGCAGTGCCAGTGCATCAGGCACTTACTCTGGAGGCAGCTATCTGGGCTGCCAAATCTGTTGAAGATATGATTAAGGGAAGAGCCGCCAGCAAGGTTGAAGTTGGCGAGAAAAGAAAGTTTGAAGGAACTTATGACTCCAATGAAAAAAGAAAATTTTCGAAGTCTGGAGGAGGAGGAGGCGAAGCAAGATGGTGTGATAAGTGCAAGAAGAAGCATTTTGGGAAATGCGGCGAAGAAGTGATTTGTTACAAGTGTGGGAGGATCGGTCACTATTCCAAGGATTGTACACATAATGATAAGGTATCTATAACGGATGCGGAGACAAGGGGCACATGTCTAGAGACTGCCCGAAGAAAAATGAAGCAGCAAGGCCCAATGTTTCATCAAAACCAAAACCCAGGGCATTCCAAATGATCCTTGACCAAGCAGATGGAAATGCAAGGGATCAGGAGTAAGGACCTTATATTCCCAAAACCAAGATATAAAGTAGCCAGGCAGTTAGTATCCAGTGGTGTAGTCTATTAAAGGCATAATATAGATTAAACATGAACATCGATGTAATCATATCAAGAAGTAATATAAAACTTGGTTTTGTTATCTGATATGCTAAATGGTTATTTGATTTTCTTGTATGGTGACTTGGAAAAACTACGAGACAATACTTGGGACGAGTATGAGTAGGTGTGAATAGTAATAGAGATCTATACTACTGGAAGCACAAGACTCACACTTGGATCAGGGAAAGTCACAAGGTTACCAAGAAACTAGTAACTGATTTCGTTTTTATTCAAGTGTGTCGTTACCATTGTTTCGGTAATGACTAAGAAGATGATTGATATTCCGACCCTAGAGGTCATATCGAATTGAGTCCGACTAAGATAAATATGTTACGTGGTTCGGGGAAAGTTGAGTCCAAGGTTTATTGGACTGTTTAAAGTTCTTCAGAGGATTGGGAACCAAGCTTACAAGCTGGAATTGCCAGAAGAACTAGATGGTATTCATAACACTTTCCACGTGTGTTATTTGAGGAAAGTTCAAAGGGAGAAGTTCCCGACATAATTCCAATTTCTGAGTTAAGGTTGGATGAAAACAAGAGGTTAATCGAAGAACTAGAGGCAATCGTTGACCGTAAGACTAAGAAATTGCGACGCAAGATGGACGATTTAGTGCTTGTGCGATAGAAACATAAGAATGGGCCAAATCTCACCTGGGAAATGGAGAGTGACATGATGAGTCGCTATCCGCATTTGTTGTTGATGTATGATTCCGGGGAAGGAATCATTCTAAGGAGGAGAGAATTGTAACGCCCGTGTTTCTAGGCTAAGCATTAATGATGATATAATTGATGGGTTTTAGGTACAATAAATAAACTAGAAAACAATTCCTAAGTTCACATGCAACCTACTTTAGATCTATGTTTTAACTATTGAAC